TGCTCACTGCAACCTCTGCCTCCCAAATTCATGTGATTCTCCTGCCTCAGCCTCATGAGCAGCTGGGATTACAGGCATGTGCCACCACGCCCTGCTAAGTTTTGTATTTTTAGTACAGATGGTGTTTCACTATTTTGGTCAGGTTGGTCTCAAACTCCTGACCTCAGGTGATCCACCTGCCTTGGCCTCCCAAAGTGCTGAGATTATAAGGGTGAGCCACTGCACCCAGCCATCAATTAATTTTCAGTGAAAATGCTCAACAACGCAAAGGGGAAAGAAAAATATTTTCAATAAATAGTATGGAGAAATTTAAAATCTGTATCTTAAAAATGAACCTTGACCTGCTACCTCACACCATTCACACATGCAAAAAAATTTTAAGATGAATCATAAACCTAAATGTGAAAGTTAATATATAAAGTTCCTTTAAAAATATGTAGGAGATGGCCAGGCGCAGTGGCTCATGCTTGTAATCCCAGCACTTTGGGAGGCTGAGGCGGGCGGATTACTCAAGACCAGGAGTTCAAGACCAGCCTAGGCAACAAGGTGAAATCACGTCTCTACTGAAAATACAAAAATTAGCCAGTGTGGTGGCGCACATCTGCAATCCCAGCTACTTGGGAAGGTGAGGGACGAGAATCACTTGAACCTGGAAGGCAGAGTTTGCAGTGAGCCACGATCACACCACTTCACTCCAGCTTGGGCAACAGAGTGAAACTGTCTCAAAAAAAATATATATATACACATACAGAGTGTACATATGCATATACAGAGTGAAACTGTCTCAAATATATATATATATATACACACACACATATACAGAGTGTACATATACATATGCAGAGTGAAAGTGTCTCAAAAAATATGTATATGTATATATATTTCTCTAAGATAATGAAGATAGTCTCATATATTCATATATATATGTAGATACACGAGACTATCTTCATTATCTTAGAGTAGAGAAATATTTCTTAGGGCACAAAACTATAGAGACCATTAGAGAAAAAATGTAATAAATCAGCCTGCATGAAAATGTAAAACTTTTACTCATAGAAAACACACACACACCGTTAGCCAGGTTCAGTGGTGCACACCGGTAGTCCCAGCGTCTCAGGAGACTGAGGTGAGAGGATCTCTAGAGCCCCAGGGATTTGAGGCCAAACTGGAAAACAGTGAGACTCTGCCTGGAGGAAAGCAAAACAAAAAACAAAAAACAAAGCCAAAAAAACTCACTATTAATATAGTGAAAAGGCAAGCCACACACTGGGAAAAAATATTCTCAACCTGTGCATCTAACAGAAGACTCACGTACATAATTTACAAAAACTCCTGTAAATCAGGAAGAGAAAGACAAAACAACCCCATTCTTAAAATGGACAAAAGACTTCAACAGCTACTTCCAAAAGAAAATATCCAAATGGATAATAAATATGTGAACACGTGTTCAATACAAGTACTCGTCAGGGAAATGTAACTAAAGACCACAATGACATAACTTGAGACATTGAAAATTCTGATAGGTACTACAACGTGAGTGAATGTTGAGGACATTATGCTAAGTGAAATGACCCAGTCACACAAAAGACAAATAGGGTATGATTACTTTTCTATGAGGTACTCACAGTAGCCAAATTCACAGAGACAGGAAGCACAATGGTGGTTGCCAGGACCTGGGGGAGAGGGAAATGGGCAGTTATTTTTTTGTGGGTGCAGAGTTTCCATTTTGCAAGATTAAATGAGTGCAGGAGATGGATGGTGGTGATGGCGATAACGGTATTGAGAGATGATGGCACCTAAAGGTATTGGGATCATGAGGAATCCACCCTCACGAAGGGATAAATGCAACCGTTCAGGACTGAGTGAGTATTCACGCTCATGAGACTGGATTCGTGGCAGCGAGCGCTAACAAAGTGAGGTTGTTGGGCATGGTGGTTCATGCCTATAATCCCAGCAGTTTGGGAGACCAAAGCAGGGGAATTGCCTTGAGCCCAGGAGTTTGAGACCAGCCTGGGCAACATTGTGAGACCCAGTTCCTACAAAATAAAGTAAAATAAGCTAGGCATGGTGGTGCATGCCTCTGGTCCCAGCTACTCAGGAGGGAGAAGCAGGAGGATCACTGGAGCCCAGGAGTTTGAGGTTACAGTGAGCCATGATCACATCACTGCACTACAACCTGGGTGACAGAGCAAAACTCTGCTCAAAAAAACAATAAGAGGCCAGGCGCGGTGGCTTACGCCTGCAATCCCAGCACTTTGGGAGGCTGAGATGGGAGGATCAGAAGATTAGGAGTTTGAGACCAGCCTGGCCAATACAGTGAAACCCTGTCTCTACTAAAAAATGCAAAAATTAGCCAGGCGTGGTGGCGGGCACCTGTAGTCCCAGCTACTCAGGAGGCTGACGCAGGAAAATCACTTCAACCCAGGAGGCGGAGGTTGCAATGAGCAGAGACCACGCCACTGCACTCCAGCCTTGGTGACAGAGCAAGACTCCAACTCAAAAACAAACCAGGCAAGGCGCAGTGGCTCACGCCTGTAATCCCAGCACTTTGGAAGGCCGAGGCAGGTGGATCACAAGGTCAAGAGATCAAGACCATCCTGGCCAACATGGTGAAACCCCGTCTCTACTAAAAATACAAAAATTAGCCGGGAGTGGTGGCATGCACCTGTGGTCCCAGCTACTCGGGAGGCTGAGGCGGAAGAATTGTTTGAACCCAGGAGGCGAGGTTGCAGTGAGCCAAGATCGTGCCACTGCACTCCAGCCTGGCAACAGAGCAAGACTCCATCTCAAAAAAAAAAAAAAATTACATGTGGTTGCCTCTCGTGTTTTGTCCTCTTTGCATGTACACACTTCTGTTTCCACTTCTCCACCATGTTATGATGCGGCACATGACTCTCAGCAGACACTGACCAAATGAAACCACCTAATATTTGACTTCCCAACCCCAGAATCATGAGCTAAATATTTTTCCTTTATAAATTACCCAGTCTCAGATATTCTGTTATAGCAACACAAAAATGGACCAAGACAGCCCACTTTAGAGCAAAAGTGATGCAGCAGCAGTTTTATGCCCATGGGGTCTACAAGTCCTGCTGCATTCAACACCACGAGGAAGCTGCCAGCCTGATCAAGGAGTTACATCACCTGCTCAAGGCAAAGCAAATGTGCTGGCTGAGAGATAATATCTTACAAGGATGAGGCTGTTTTCCAGAATATGGCACACACCCTAAGTCAATGACCCTTATATGGTACTGTGGCCCCAGTAGATGAAATAAATAGATTTGGGGACCAAGGGCTAAATATAGAAGTAGCCTCACATATCCTCACTTCCAGTAATTTATTTAGAAATATGTGCTTCTCATCTCTTCAAACCTAGTTTCTGTGGCTGTAGACATCCTGCTTCTTAGAAGGGGAACACTTCCACCAGAGGATGTAAGTATATCATTAAACTTTAAGTTGCAAATGCCAACTTTGGGCTCCTCATGTCAAGAGACCAGCAAGCAAGGACAGGAGTCACCATTTTGGAAAGCATCAATTAACCCTGATCATCACAAAGAGACAGGGCTGCTGGTAAGCAGTGAGGGCAAGGAGGAATGTATGCAGCATCCATTGAGTGCCTCTAGGTATTCCCTTGCCCAGTTTTAATGGTAAATGGACAAGTATAGCAGCCATAGTCACAGAAGGGCATGGAGACCTGAGACTCAGACTCCTCAGGGACAAAGGTCGGGGTTACCCCCAACAAGGAGGGGTACCTAGGCCAGGACAAGTGTTGGCTGAGTCTGAGGGAAATCTAGAATGGAGAATGGGGGAAGGAAAAGATGAGTATCAGCTTCAGTCTCAAGATAGCTATGTTACCAGGAGCTGTAACTCACTAGCTAGGAAAGTTTACCCTGCTAACTTTCCTCTTGTAAGTTTCCCCAGGAAAAAAACATTGAGAATCCTGGAAAGCTGGATTTACAGGGCAGCAAGTAAACCTGAAAGGAACAAAGCCCATTCTATAGGGGATGCTATGACACTACCCAGATTCCCGCCTCAGGACCGGGGCATGCACTGCATGGGTGGACAGCACTTTGCCTCCTTAGGACTTACTTTTGGGTCCCTCCCCAGAAATAGCTATTAGCTGATGGCAGCTGCCTGGCCCAGGCTTCAGCTCCTCTCTGAGGACAGTCCACAACCAGTGATCGGTCACTGCAGGAGTACAACTTGAAAGGCTCCTGGACTATAAATCTAAGCATATTCCTTTGAGACAGTATCTCAGTATCAACACACTGAGATTTACGGAGGCTCATTCATTCAGCAAATATTAAGCATAGACTATGGGTCTGAACTATTTTAGGAGCTTGACATATATCAGTGAACTAAACACAGGAATTCCTGCCTTTGCGGAGTTTACATTCTCTGTGGGCAGAAACAGATAGTAAACAATACATATAATAAATTATGGCCGGCACAGTGGCTCCCACCTGTAATCCCAGCACTTTGGGAAGCCAAGGCGGGTGCATTACTTGAGGTCAGAAGTTCAAGACCAGCCTGGCCAACATGGTGAAACACTGTCCCTACTAAAAATACAAAAATTAGTTAGCCATGGTGAGCCGATGCCTATAATTCCAGCTACACAGGAGGCTGAGGCACAAGAGTCACTCAAACCTGGGAGGCAGAGTTGCAGTGAGCCGAGACCGCGCCACTGCACTCCAGGCTGGGTGACAGAATGAGATTCCTTCTCATAAAAAAAAAAAAAAAAAAGGAAAGGAAGAAATTAAGTTATATGGTATGCTATGAAAAGCAAAAAAGCACAGATAAGAGAGATGAGGGGCACAGGGGAATGGCTGCAACTTTAAAATGTGCTGTTCAGGTAGATCTCTTTGAAAAGATGACTTGAAGGAGGAAGCCATGCAGTTACATGGGAGGAAAGAATAACAGCAGAGGGAACAGGTAATGCAAGGGCGGTAAGACAGGCTCAGGGCTGGTGTGGCTGACGGACAGCAAGGAGACCAGTGTAGCGGGAGGGAAGGAGTGACAGGAAGTACAGAAGGAGAGGCAGTCAAGAGGGAAGGGTGGTAGAGCAGAGGGGAGGGGCAGATTACGCATGGCCTTGAAGGCCATTGTGTAAGGATCTTGACTTTTACTCTGACAAAAATGGGAACCTATTGAAAGGTTTTGATCAGACTAATATGATCACTTCTATGTTGAGAGGACTTTTCTCCCTGCCAGGAGGCTCCGGCGATAATTCAAGCAAGAGATGATGTGGCTCAAGTCAGGGGTGGCAGTGGAGGTGATGAGAAGATCCTAGATGCCTTTCAAAGGCGAAGCCAACCTGATCCCCTGATGTATTGACAAGAGTGTGATAAAAAGAGAGGACTCACGGATGACTCCAAGGTATAACAGTTGTTTGCAGCATCTAGGAAGTGTAAGTGGATGGGTTTGGGAGATCAGTGGGAGTGAGGGAAGGAGTCCAGAAGTTTAGGCTGTGTTAAGTTTGCGATGTCTAATAGACTCTATAGCAGACCACTGGTGCCCTGCTACCAAGATAGAGGTGCCCGGGAGTTTATGTTTCTCCAGAGCAATGGCTGACCAATGACTGATAAATGCAGGAATATAATAGCCCAGCTCCCATTTTCTTGCATTGGAACAAACTACCAACATTGTGGTGTGAACAGCCCTGGGAGATCAGGTTAAAGCCACCGCCTGTGGAACTTTGCCTGAGATCACTCTTTGCTTGGTTTCCTCGCCTTCTCTGTCCTGTCCTGCTTCACCCATTCCCGTGCTAGTTTCCTAAGAGTAGCTCCTAATGGATCACATGTACACAAATCCTCATCTAAGGTCTCCTGCTGAGGAACCAGATCCAAAATGATATCCAAGCAGAGATGTCAAGCTCATAAGAGGTGTTTCAGCTAGAAAAAAAAACTTGGATGTCAACCAGATGTAGATGGAATTTAAAGCTACGAGACAGGGTGAGGTCACCATGGGAGTGAGCTGGTGTTATTCTTTCATCACAGAGATTTCAAGATAGAGAAGAGAGTAAAATACTTTCATCTTAAAAGTAATTCAGGGGAGAGTAAAGTTGGCCCATTCCCTTTTAAATATTTTGAAACTGCTATTACAATTTCATTATAACAAAATGTCAGAAGTTAATACTTGAATCTGGGCCATGGTTGTCTCAGGAATCATTATACCATTGTTATTATTT